GGGGGGGGGGGGGGGGGACTTTTTCATTGTGTGTGTGTGTGTGTTTTTTTTTTGTTTTTTTTTCTAAATGGAAGAGAGAGGGGAGAGGGTTGATAGTAAGGGAATGTTGGAGAGGGTGTTTAGTAAGGGGAATACCACGATGTTGTTCGCCCTCGGCCCCTGGAAAAGAGAGAGAAAAAGAGGGTGAGTTTTTTTCTGGTTGGCTTACGAAGACTGACACCAATTTCCTGGTGTGATACAATATATATATAGATATAGATATATATATATATATCTATATCTATATATAGATATAGATATATATATAGATATACGTGTGAGATTGTGGCCAGAGAAAGGCAAACCGAAGGGGAAAGAATATATTTACGTATTTCAATGACAGAATGTTTAGGACAGTGTTCACAATCAGTCATACCATCTTAACGGTATTGGGCCTTGGATCTCACAAGGTGTTGTGTTACAACCAATCAATCTGGAAGAGCAGACTACAGTGCTGAAAGAAGCTGAAAGCAGCTCGTCAAGAGAGGAAAAGTGTTTAAGTTCCAGATGTTGGAATAAGGATTTGTGTTTGGGTGTGAGGGGGGGAACAGCAAAGGCACTCTCTCCCTCTTTCTCTCTCTCTCTCTCTCTCTCTCTCTCTCTCCGCGAGAGCCGCCTCTGGGGTCAGTGTGGGGAAAGACCGTGAACACAAACACCCCCACACCTACCCCCCCCCCCCCCCCCCCGATAAGACACAATGCACATACATATACACACACACACACACACAAAATCATCAGACACTCAAAACACTGCCTGACACGTACACAAAAGCCAGGCAGCAGCAAAGCTTCCACACACCATCTGCACTCTCTCTCTCTCACACACACACACACACACACACACACACACACACACACACACACACACACACACACACACACACACACACACACACACACACACACACAAAACACAAAAAAAAAATGTCACACTGGGACTGACGCCAGCGGTTGTCCGGCTAGATGCTGAAGTCAGGCTGCAGTAATGAACCCTCATTTCTGGGAGTGAACGCTGTAAAAGGTGAATCTGGGTTGGAGTATGCGTGTGTGTGGGAGGGGTTCATGTACATGCGAGGACATGCACTCTACATGAGCACCAAACATCATGAGTACAGTATGCGAGTCTTCTGGCTCACATCAAAATCTTGGCCTTTCACCATGCCGACTTGGGAAGATGACAACATGACGTTAACGGACGCAATACAAGAGAAAACACTTCTTGCAGCCGTGGCACAAATTTTCTTTTTTTAAGCGCATGTTAACATGAATGAGTCTTTGTTCTCAGTCAGGGTGCAAGGATTTGAGGTGCAACACAAATGCTACCATTTGGCTGCGTTGTCTTTTAATAGAATTAAATCCTGGCAGCCAACGCTCTACTTCAGCTGGCACAGAACACAAACTAAAAACCTTGCTGTGGCCTTGTTGAAGCTTAACTTCTTATCACACAAAGCCGAGCAACACCGTGATACTTTAATGAAACATATCTCTTGGACGAGCAGTGGGGAATCTTCCCAAGTGCACAATGGGTCAATGCAAAGATTTTGTGTTTGTCTTCACCGTGGATGTGTTCCAAAGACAAAACAAGGCACAAGTGAAAAGTGTTACTTAGTTTAGAGCCGAGCCCAATTCTATTCAACTGCAGCACTGACGTAAGTAGACCAGTGATGAATCCCTAATGTTGCAACCAGGCGGCCCTTCTGCTCTCTGCATTCAGGAACGAGTCCTTAATCCCAGAGCAGAGGTAGCATTTCGGTTCCCTCGTCTCCAAGGCCAATGGTTTTTTTTAGTTAAACGGTCTGTGGTGAACACAAGCGAGATTTTAACATTTTGTTCTACAACATCGAACACGCCAGTAGATACCACTCTAGGGGATTTTGAAGCTTTTTAGTGTGTTAACTTAAACAAGTGGTTAAACGAGACTACTAAGCAGCCTCATGTCTACTCACGCCACTGTGGCGTAGTTATTTTACAGCTTAACGTTAGCTTCAACTTATGCCGATCGCATTCATGCTTTCAAAAATATGAAAGTGGTCATTTGTGAAGATTATTTTGCTTGTCGGTACCATAAACTTGTGTTTGCCACAGTTTTCTAGAGGAAAACCCCCCGTTGGCTTTTTGTCGAGGGAACCAGTGCGATGCCAACTTTCAGGTTGGCCTAAATAAAACGTCTTCCCTACAGCGCTCTATGCTCCATTCAACCTGACTGACTGCAGAAGACGGAGCTTTAAATGCTAATCTTTGTGCTGTTTTTTTTATTTTTTTTGCACAGCAATTTGAACGTTCAGGTTTTTTTTCTTCTTCTATTCTGTTGGATGTCAACCCTTACTTTAATTATCTTCACCAAACTGCAAATCAGTCAGACAGAACTTAAAAGTTCAACGATCAAAGCAAGTCTTACAAACCAACAACTTAAAGTCTGTAAAGTGAAATGCTAATTATGCGTCTAGTCTATAAACCACTAGATTATACATTACTATCAGTACTTTTAGCTTCTGGAGACTTGAGGCTTTTCCCCTCGTCTCGGTGTGCCTGGTCCTGCAGCTCGGCCAGATCCCAGAGAGTGAACGGGCAGGGTTAGGGCTTCTTGGTATGTGTGGGAGTGGCTGGGGTAAGTGCACGGAGAGATTAGAGAGATTCTGACCTTGAGGTTCAGACACTTTCTCACACAAAGGAATGAATAGACATGTAACCCTTTCTTGTCCTTATTTAAATAGGCAGCCTTGCTGAAAAGGGAATTCTTTGCACAAATACTTGAGTGTAAGAGAAAGAAAGGAGAACTACACACGAGGTAAAATGGAATAAATAGGAGCCTGTCAGAAGAAGTTGGCAAACTGTTTCATCGCTGGAATAAAGGCCTCTGTATGAAGGGTTTTCGTCTCTTTCCAAAATAACTGCCACAGCATCTTTCTTTGTTGCACATTAAGTATTAAGCAACAGCCAAGGCCTGAAGGTTCCAGATGCTTTTCCGGGATGATCAATCAGAATCTCTGTCTCAAAGCTCAGTGCATGTGTGGGGAAGCTGGCATGCTGATCAGTGGGTGTATTACCACACCACCTTTCTCATTTTAAATAAATAAATGTGGCTACACAAGGCTGATATGGAGTAACCGGTGACATACCGTAGCCTTGATTTCTCACTGCCCTCAGGGGCGAGCCACACTTTATATAAAAAGAGACAGTTCATATCTATGTTGTTTAATTATGCCCAAAAACAACCAGATTGTTGTATGTATCATCTTTATAGAAACTGTGCAGCTCTAGTTAATAGTTAACTGCCAAGTGTTTAAATCACATACTGTAAACATGGTTAAATTTGCAGTAGGGCCCCACTGCAGAGCTCTGAGTTAAAGCCCATCAAAACACTGTGTGGAGAGCCACCAGATCCAATGAGCACAGCACTCTGATCAACACCAGGCTTATTCTGCTGTTGAGTATGGATCACAGTAATGCGACCATAGTATTGATGGAATGGAGCATTAAATGCAGTAGAGTGAGGCAAGGCTACGGGTCACACAGCACAACGTTTTCAGTTATGTAAAATGGTTTGCAATTCTCCCTGCCATATATGGTCCAATCACAAATCACATTCCAAGATTTCAGCCTCTGGAGCGTCACCCCAGTACTTTTCTGTTATGATGCAGGAGATTGCATTGGCCTTGACTCAAACATGGTTCTAACTAATGCAGAATGTATGAACAGCCTGGGAAGAACTAAAAGATGTGCACTGAGTCCGTTAGGATGGTTATATGTGATGTGGCATGCAATGAGTCCCACCACTGGTGTGATGTCTAACGTGACTACACGGCATGTATCAGTGTTTTCTATTAAGTAATTATTTTGACAATGCTCATATTGCTCAGTCTATCCGGTATTTTCAGCGTGACCACATTTAGAAATCTCTTAAACCACACTGTCCTGCCCATTCAAGTCTAGAGTGCATAAGCATTATATTACTATAAACCTCATCCCAGTGGTTCCCTATCAAGTACATCAAATGGAGATGATCAGTGTCTTCTAACTGGACATTAGTTTTCTTGTCCCGTTTGTGTGTCTAAATACAAGGAGAGGACAGTGTTAACCCGGACTCTATCTGAAGGCCAAAACAGGCCATATTCTAACACGCTGTGGAGTCATTTATCAACAGTCCAATCCTTGTTTTCTCCTCAGCTGTACAACAAATAATCATAATTGCAGCTCTATGTAAATCGGAAAGAACAGATGCCAATTCTGGCTGGTCATCATAGTCTGCCTCGTTTGTCGTGTAATTTCCTTGAAAAACAAACACCAGGTGAGGTGCAATGCATGCAGGTGCCATGTTTCCCTCCCCATGGTGTCTGAAGTGATGCGTCAGCTCACCTGAAGGCCCGTCCTCTGCCTCGGGGGGGGTGTGTAGCCGCTGTAGTAGCGTGCACGCGATGAGAAGCTTCCTCCTCCTCCTCCTCCTCCGCCTCCTCCTCCTCCTCCCCGTGACCTGAAGCGAGCCCGTGGAAAGCCGCGGTCTGTGGTGCTGATGCCTGGTCTGTTTGTTCTCTTAGCGCCCACCTGAGCGGCGACAATCAAGCAAGAGACCGTTACATAAAACCAACAGCCAGGCATACAATTTTGGGTTTTTTCAAGATAAACGAAAACTGCGTGAATTCAGCTAAATATTTTTGCCCTGTCAAGCAACAAGAATTAGACTTGTTTCAAGATCAATATTGAATGAATCTGGTACAACCAAAAATGCTGGCTTGGGTATCGAGTCTATGCATCGATCCCATATCACGTTCTTCATATAATTTATAAACTAATTTACGCTACACAGGAACAACAACATATGTCACTTGCCAGTCGACCGGTACTAAACATGTGTAAACTAGTAAACACTCTTATGCAGCCTGTTTTTCCCTGATAATGAGACATTGTGCACAACAAATGTGTTCAAATCAGCAGGATGAGAGATAGTTAACATAAGCAGTTAGTAGCCAATGATGCTTATTCTGCAACTGTTTGTTGCGGTAATCACTGTGATTATCGTGTAAATGCACCAACATTCAACAGCTCAAAATGATGAAGCCACAGTATCTGATCACATGGGATCATCTTTTTTTCACGCTTGCAATCAAGATCAAATTAATTCACGTTCCCCTTTTACGTCCTCTCAAAACAGTGTCACTTTTCATTCTGACCTAAAACTGCTAAAACTCTCAATGTGAGAACGTCCCAGGTGAAGGAATAAAAAGATATTTAAAAAGATCTTACCTTTATCTGCCTTCCTCTAAAAAGGGACTCATCCAATGCCATGGCTGTCCTAACAGACTCTTTGTCTGCAAACTCAATATAGGCAAACCTGAAGAAAACAAGAAGAAAAGCAAATCAATCACCTCGATTTGAAAATCGGGGGGGGGGGGGGGGGGGGGTTATTGAAAGAGATGTACAAAACATAATAAAAAGATTTTTTTTTGTGTT